AGTACAAAAACTACTGTAAAAAAGGAAACAACTCCAAAAACTATTGTAGAAATGATTAAATAAGATACGAAAAATATTTTTAGTGTAATTTTTCAATGTTTATATTTGTTGTTCAAAGATTAAATGTAAATGTTAGAGGTGTTAGCATGTTTTACCAAGATATATATATATATTTTTAATTGACTTCACAAGTGAGTTCCACAAGCAAAAAATGTGATGAAAGAAACTGCTAGCATAGAATTTACGGTTACATGTAGCCAGCTCAACTCTAAATTGATGAGATCTCAACACTCGTCTAGTACTGTGCTTAATAGTCTAGGAACCATAGAGAAAAGCTCATTGGAAAAATTACCATGAGAATATTTATAGATGATAGGAAAAAGAACTGAAGATAAGCTGCCAAATCAGGACCAATAATATTGCTGATTCTTCTTTGGATTTTATCAAGGAACTCAAAGTAAATAGCAGGAGCAGTGGCCATATGTGGCAGCAATATTCCAAGCATGGATGAATGGTAGACTTATAGATAAGTATGATAGATTCTGAAGAGAAAAATTGTTTTGCACAACACACTGACCCAACTTCCTTCACAGCTAACCTAGCAATTGATTCAATATAGACATTTTACTTCATGTCAGCTGGGAATGTTAGCCCAAGAAGGCACAACGAGTCACTTTCCTGGACATTAAAATCAGCAAGGCAGAGAGGGATCATTCAGATGATTAACAGAAAGAACTTTAGTTTTGGAGGTGTTAAAATTAACAAGCCATCTTTGACCTCAGTTAACAACAGACTGGAAGTCATTTTGGACATCAGCTACCATTTTGAACTTACATCTATAACTTAGTTCAGAGAAAAGGTTTTTGTTGCTATGTTTTGGCTAATCCCTTCTGCAAGTGGATAATCCATAATTAAAAACAAAAAAAGAGGTTTCAGTTTTTTTTTTTTCTGTGGTACAAGGTGATACTAGAAAATAGTTGCTAATGTGCATCAAGACCCCCTAAAATATCCTATACTATATACATTGGCTTGCTATTTAGTTGCATAAGTCAGACCAATATAGATTTCAGTGTTGTATGATCTTCTTTGCTCAGTAGAGAAATAATTGGGGAATTCTACTCCCAGGTTAAATGGTTAGCTTTTCCACACCCAATGTAATTATATGATTCTAATGCATATACAAGAAATGTTGTCTCACTTCTTGAGCTAAGAAATGTCAGTGATGCAATGGAATTCAATTGGATCAAAGCATGGATGGTTTTGCTTAAATTGAAAAATTTTGGTTGTCATGTTGGAATTTAGTGATGGAAGACCAGAACCATATTGAAAAGCCAAAGATGATAAAAAACAAAACCAATAAAGCAGAAATCAACAGCCTTCAAAATGTTATTAATATTAATAATACACTTGGATGTTTTATGTGAAGGTGACAGGCTAAGTTATCCACTATCTATCATTTCATAATGAAATCTTTTCCAACAATAACACAAATGATGGGAACAATTGTTCACAAAAAGTGTTGGCATAAATGGGATTCTGATTCTAAATTCTAAAGCAATAATAAAAAAATATCAAACACCATTGTCAAGGGAGATAAATGTGTTCTAGTTCAAAGGTGGCTTTATTTAGGAATTAAATTTCACATTGAAGATTGGTTAATTTTCAACCCTCCTTATTAGATTTGAAAGTTGCATATGGAATAAAACTTGTGTAATTGAATTTGAGAAATCAAATATAAAGAAAAAGAAAGTAATATTCAGTTTGTGACCAGAACAAAATTCTGCAATAAAAAAAAATTGCTGAGAATTAAGCAGATATTTAATTCATTCAACAAAGGGAAAAAATTAACTGATTTGAAAAAAAAAAAAAAAAAAAAAAATTAACCAAGAAACAATGAGATAAATATAAATCTCCTTCAATGAAGATTTTTAATTTTAAACTTTGTAATTTTCTATTTATTTATTTTTTATCCATTTCCTTTTCAAAACAGGAAAAATCCATATTTTATGATAAAGAACAATGCTCACTTGAAATGTTTAATGGATGCATATCATAATTCACAAAGTGCTTCATCATTTGATGTCATGAGGAATTTGAGCAGTTTTTTTGTGGATCAAATTTGTACAAGATACAAAGGATGATATTGTTTTGCTGACTTCTATGGCCTCTGAAATTTATTTTTATTGACTGAAATTGAGTAAACTTTCTGATGTATTCCTTTTTTTTTTAAATTTTCTCTAAAGTAGCTTTATTTCCCTTCAGAAACATTAAACAGAATGCCTGAGACACAGAATCCTATCAAAACCTTTACTAGGCTTACAGTCACATTATGTTGAAATATTTGTTCCCATACATTCACTGAAGATAAACAACGTCAAGCCTGGTTGTTGGTTTCAATCCTCTGAAAAATGACTGCAAAATACTTTCCCTTCCCCTTTTATAGATAGAAGCACACAAATGCATGCTGGGATTTTTTTCCTAGCCAATAAAATAGGCTGGTTAACAGTTTCATCTGACTCAATCCCAATCTGTCTTGTCTTGAAGTCATAACACTATATACACTTGTCTGAACTTGCTTTTGTGTTCCAATGCCAATTTTTAGTTTGTGAACTTTTTGCCATATTACTGTCACTTTACCTTATTACCGTTGGTTTTTCTTGCATATATTGTTTGCTTGGTTTATATAATTTTTTACCTTGTTCCTTTCATTTCTTTTTCTTGTTATTGCTTATTGCAAATTTTGTCAGTTCTATTCATTGGACAGTTCTGTTATTTATTTTGCATTTGACCATGGCTACTCCTTCCACACTAGTCAGTACCTAGATAGGTGCCTGGAAATTTATAACTATAATGGATAATGCCTTAGAATTGTTACAGAGAGTTCAAATTTTCATTGGGTTTGTTACATTCATTTACACATAAATACTCTTAGGGAAGGTATGAATCCACCTCTTCTCCCCCAGCTATGTGTTAATTAGTAAGACTTGTATTGCTAAACCATTATTATCTCAAAAAAGAAAAAATATTCTTACAATCTAAAAATATTTTTTGGCTATAAATAACCTGCTAAGTGTTGAGAACTTATAGAAACCAAATCAGCCAATCAAAACCTTTACTGATTTGAGTAGATTTATAAATATGGAATAATAAATTTATATTTCCTAGTGTTTGTTATATCTCAAAATTATGTGAAAATGGTTCTAAATAACAAGAGTTTATATCTTTTAATAATTTTTTTCTAAGTTGCAATGAAAAGAAACAATGTGAGAAACAAAGCAAGGTATATAAGATTATCTTATGTGAAAATGGGGCCAGTCACACAGGATTACATTATACCTAATCAGCTGAACAAACCCAGCATAGGAATTGTTTCCTCTTTCAAAAACAGGAATGCATTGTGTTGTTGATTCCAGCAACAAAATAACTTAACACACCATGGTCCTTTCCATTATGAAATTTAAGAATGAATTCAAAATGGCTTTAGGCTATGTTGAGAGGTTGTGAAAGGGGTTTTCATTTTATACATTTCTGTGGGATGGTAACTTGTTTAGATAGGTTGAGGAATTCTGCCACATAACAAAAATTCTGTTCAAGGACATAAACAGATTTTGGAGTTTATAGAATATAATCTCACCTTACATCAACCTCCAAAACAAATTCTTTCAATTAACAGCTAAAAGCCTTAGGCAATGACAAAAATAGTGTATGATTTTAATTCTAACACCTTCCTTAACTGGTTATGAAACATGAAAGAAAAGATGGGTTTGGTTGTTTGGTTATGGTAGCAACTCTCTATAAAACCCACAGGTTAGGAAGTTGGAAAATGTTTTTACAAATTCTGTCTTTTCAAAAAATAAAAGGACTTCTTTTCTATGCACTGAACTATCTGTATTTTATAAATTACAACAGTTACTATATACTAAAGTGCTCTTGTAGCAAGATTGACTAATGCAAGTCTTTATAATTTAATGTGAGATTTTGTAAATGTTTTCATATGTAAAATCTATACAGGATTTAAAATTAATTTGAACAAAAAATGCTTTTATACTCACCTTTTTACAAGTCAATTTTCTATGTGTCTTTTTTGTCATATAATTAAAATAACTTTACAACTATGAGCTTACAAGCCCCTTTTTTATCTTTCAGATCAAAGGGCACAATAAAGTTGTATAATAATAAGATGGAATAAAACTGATAATAGTGAATAGTGAAATCTTTCATTTGAGATATAAGAATAAGAAAGAAAAACCAGTAATAAAACAATAATAATAGTTGTAAAAGAATTTTGTTGTAATGGATGCTACCTGCCTTAACCATAATTATACTGTTGATGAAAAAAAAAAAACAGGGAATTTTCGGTGGAAAAGTGGCTATATCAGTCAAGCAGAAATTAATTGGTGGAAGACATAATCAAGTATCCAGCAACTTCATGGATAGACAAACAAACAATCGAATGTAGCATAGTGAAAGAGGAAGAACGAAGAAAAACAATAAGTGTGTGGAAGAGGAATGAAAAAAAAAACAATAGTGAAAATTATTTTTGTTGTATCATACCTACGGACAATAATATCCCCATTCACATAAATACAGTAGTAAATACTGTATGTTGGTCTGCATTTGGAGATTCATTGTGGAATTCACTTAACTCACTTCTAGAAGTTAACTATTTCTTCCACGTGCTGCTGGTAAATCTTATATGTGTTGTTCTTGTCCTAAGTATTATCATTCATTAAAACCTTCATGTGATTATTCTATTCAGTAACCTTCGCTAGGTTACAACAATTTTATATAAATTGCAGCAATAATAAATTAGAATAAAACTAGTAATAAATTAATAGTGAAAATTCTTCATCTAAACTAAATAAAAGCAACAATAGTTGGTTTAGTTGAATTTAAAACATGTCTAACCAATTTACACTTGGACTATTGCCTTCATCTTTGTTGTTATAACAAAATTTTGGCCATTCTGTCTTCTGGTTTTCATCACATGTATATCAGCTTATGTCCACACCATGTTCAAACACTGGTTCCTGTACTATCACTGAAGTTAAGCAAAGTCAAGCTTGGTCAGTACCTAGATGGGTGACCACTTGGCAGTAACAGGTGTTGTAAGGTTGAATGTGTTGGTGGTGCAATAGATAATGGTTTGGAATTGTTAATCGGAGAACCAAATTCCAATTCCCATTATGTACATTATATTCACTTATGCAAAAATACCTTTGGGAATGTTATGGATCCACCTTTTCTCCCTCCAGCTATGGGTTAATTAGTAAGACTTGTATCACTAAACTATTGTTATCTCCCAAAATAAAATAAAATTTAATACAAAATATTTAGATTTCAGCATTAAATAACTGACATGCTGCTAAAGAACAAAACCAACCAACCAACCAACCAACCAACCAACCAACCAACCAACCAACCTATTAGTACTTGAGAGAGGGATAACAGTGAAAGTTGTAAATCTATGCAGTGCCTGGCCCAGGGATTGAGCTCACAATTATTATGTCGCCAATTTCATGAACCAACACTTTAATCCACTAGGCTTTAACTCTGGAAATAAAGCAAGCAATAACTGGGCCGTACTAAAAAAAAATTAAGAACGAGATGGGATATTACTAGACATGAGCAGTGGAACAAGGACAGTCTACCCACAAAGATTAAATAAAGAGTTAATGATAATAACAAAAAAGATAAGAACAATCTGCATGTAGATAGTATAAATCAAAAAAATAGTATGTTTTCAAAAATTCATAATAAAATTATTGTCAACTGCATTAACTAATTTTAACTTCAAAATAAATTTTGGTCATTAATAAGAGAAATACACTCCTTAATATTTGTTTATCATTGGAATTTCAAAATCTGAAATAGCAAAATTTGAAATTTCAGTTTCAAAAATTCAAAATTGTTTATTTTTTATTTCAAAAATTCAAAAATGTTTACTTTTCATTTCACAATTGTTTATTTTTTCATTTTAAAATTTGAAATAGCAAAATTTGAAATTTCAGTTTAAAAAATTCAAAATAATTTATTTCTTCATTTTGAAATTTCAAATTTTGAAATTTCAAATTTCAAAAATTCAAAATTTCAAATAGCAAAATTTAAAAAGGACTTCAAAAATAAATTTTGATCATTAATGAAAAAAACAAAAAAAAACTACATTTGTTTATCATTAGAATTTCATTAAATGGTGGTGGAAAAGTGACTGAAGCCAAGATGCCATGTCAGGACTGATAATATTGCTGATTGACTGGATGTGGAAATAATATTATAGATATTTCTGTAAAAATATATAGAACAAATTCAATTTGAAAAAAAAAATTGAAACAGTATCCAAAATTTGTTTGTATGCTAAATAAATGTTTAGAAATAGATTTGAAAGATTTCTTTTTTTCTTGCACCAAACCATTTCAAGCTACAAAATTTCCATTTATGGAAGAGTATTTTGGAAATAATACTCATTTTACACAGAAAAGTCTATTGATTTTCTTGGTCCAATTAAGAAAATGGTAATTCTAAGTGTCTTTTCAATTAATAGATGCTGGAACCATCTTGATATTATGCCAGTCTGCTTATTTACTCAAGGGGCCCCTACTCATTTGATTAGAAGCTTGTTAAGGGTGGCATGTTCCACTCCTGAGATACAAATACAGACCACCAGATGTTCTTAATTAGCAATTTGCCTTCCATTGTATTCCGGTGTGTTTGTTTATAGAAAACTTCCTTTGGTTGGACTCTGACGGAAGGACCAGAAAAGCACTTGGTATGACTTGGGCTATAGATTGATATTAGATCATTGATAGACTGGATGTGGAAAGTTAACAGCGCTGGATTCAAAATCTAATTAATGGGGAAATATTAATGTTTCCTGTGTGAAGATAATTCGACCATTTTGGAGATGATACCAGTTTATTAATTCTGTCCAACTATAAAGTTAAAATAATATTTTGTTATAAAAAAGAAACTGAATGTTTCTTTAAAGAAGTAACTATAAAAAGAAAAATGCATTAATGCAAAAGTAAATTTGTGTTTAAATAACTGTCATTTTATATCCAGGGAAATTGAAAAATTAATCCAAAAGGAAATTTGATTGTGGATAGGAAATCTTGATTTAAAAAAAAAAAAATAGACTGAAAAATGCAGCTTTACAGCCATACCATATTGACACACCAGTTCCTATATGGTCACCAAAGTTAAGCAACATGGTGCTGGGTCAGAACCTAAATGAGGGTGACCACTTGAGAATACCAGGTGCTGTAAGCTTGGATGTGCAGATGGTCTACCAGCTCAGAATTGTTAATTAGGGAACCAATTAGGTTCATTATATTCACTTACATGAAAATACCTTTAGGAAAAGTATGAATCCACCTCTTCTCCCTCAGCTATGGGTTAATTAGTAGTACATGTATCAGTAAATCATTATCTCCAAAATCTTTTAGTAACCTAGAAATATTTTGTGGCTTTAAATAATCTGCAAAAGGTTGATAAACTGTAAAAATGAAATCAATCATGAAAATATTTTAAACTCTGATAGAAAGTAGATAACCACTCCAAAAATAAATTTGTACTGGTTAGAGTAATGTGGATGCTTTTGTTGTCGGTCAAGACAGTATATGGGTAGTGTAATGAGAAATTACAGCCCCAAGTTCGAAATCTAGTCAAGTTCATTATATTCACTTATGTGCAAATACACTTGGTAAAGGTATATCATGCCATCTCTTCTTTTCCCTGTTATGGATAAATAGCAGGACAGATGGTGCTCTATAACGTGGTTGGCAACCAGTCCAGGAGAAAGAAAACTTCATCCAGTCTAGAAAGGGTTAAGCTCTGTCAGGCTAGCTTGCCCAAGACATACCAATGCTGCTTTCACTACAGTATATATAGTGCTCCTGCAACCTTAATAGGTTCTGGGACTTGTGAAACACAGGATATGCAACTAGTATTTTTATTGGTGTAAAGAATATGTAAATGATATCTTATAACCAAATTTTAAATTTGTCATATATATATATATCTATATATATATATATATATATATATTTTTTTTTTTTTTCTTCCTTTCATTTCTTTGTCAGTTGAGTAAAAATAATTCCCCTAATACTCCCAGAATCAATACCAATATCTTTATATCAAGACTCTTAGAATTCTTCATCTTTCTCTCAGACGCTTACATTCTCAGATCTGCATATTTTAGTTTTGTCAGACTTCCTTCCCAGCCACTACTCACCCATTTACTTACGTTGTCACACATCAAAGAAAATTCTAAAATTAAACAAAAATATCTTAAATAAATAGTTTCTTTTCATTGCCTTCATCACAAAAAGAGAGAAAAAAAAATAGGAAAAAGTTTCTTATTTATCCATCAAGTGAAAAGTATCAGTTTTGAATCAGGATGGGGTGGGGGGACATTTACTGTATTTTTTTTTTTTTTACCCAATTCGCCTGTAGTTTGCAGCAGGAGCTCTTTACATTTGTACAATTCTTAATTCATGCAGAAAGATATTATTTATAATTTCTGTAAGAAGTTACAAATATTGCTACATTATGAAATAATGGAGATATATTTGCAAAGCCATGCATATCTACATATACTTATATGTGGGTTTTGAGGTCAAAATTAGAGATTCATGCCACAAATGTATCATATTAGTGTATCCTGCTGTTAGCTTTGCTCTTATTTCTTTAAATTTAGTTCTTTGCTATGATTCTAATCAATTTAGTCACGAGGATATAAATATATATTTTGTCTCTCCCTATTCTTTCACTTCTGTTGTTCCACCCAAATCTGTTTGACAAATAATTTCACAACATCTTCACATATAAAAATTAACTGCTCCTTTTGAGAAACGGAAAAACTGATTTTAAAACTATGAGAAATAAACACAGCTTTATTTTCGTTTTGTTTTTACTAAATATTCACCCAAGTGTCGATCAAAGTTGAAGTTTACTGAACAAGATGTCTGTTATGAACCTAAGTTTTTTGGGTTTTTTTTAAATAATTTCACCCCAAGCAAGGCAATAATGTCAACAGGATGCAGGGTGGATGGTTACACAAGGAGTGCAAGAGAATAAGAAGAATTCAGTGGGAAGGGAAGAAAACGGCAAATGAACAAAAGAAGACAGAAGTAACCATTGATGTTGCATTTAAATTTTTAAAGATTGTAGATGTCAGGGAAGCAAGAAAGGGAAAAGAGTTCCACAGGTGAGAAGTGAAAGAAAATAAATTATTAGAATAGAATTAACGATTGAATCTAACTAAAACCGTGAGACCTACTTGCCAATCTAGTAACACATTTAAATGCCTGCAGTAGGAAGTGAAGAATATGGAGGATAGATATTAACCCTAGACTTGAAGAGGTTAAGATTATAGTGTTCTGGGAAGCATCCACTGGGGAGTCTGTTTCTCAAAATAGCAGTTCTTGAGAAGAAACTTTTAGAGTAGAATGCCCTTCTTACCAAAGGAATATGCAGGTTATGAAAGTGAGTCAAACCTGTGGATGGAGTAAACCACATCTTGGCTGTAAAGGTTTGAGCTAGCGGCACTAAAGAATGGGATCTAACAGAACATTTGCCATGGAAGCATGGACAGAATAATGAATGGCTTGCAACATTGCATCTTTGAGAAAAGGGCTGTCAGGTTGAAAATAAGCCATTGCCCTGCCACACACATAGAAACGATTTCTGAACTCAGGCTTAGAAAGAGGTCTACTGAGTGAGGTTGTTGTATGGACATAAGAGGAGGAAGCAAGTGCTCATCATGAGGATATGTAGGATAGACAACGGTTGACCCTAGATTTTGAAATGGTTATGATTGTAGGGATCAAGGAATCATACTTTTTGCAATCAGTTCTTGGGATGAGGCTGTCTGAATGGAATTTCCTTCTTACAAAGGGAATGTGTATGATTTGAACCTGTGTATATGTCATGATGGGTCCCAGCTCTAAAAGTCTGAACTGTTGGAACTAAAGAATGTTGCTTATCTGGACATTCTCTATAGGAATAGTGGTTTGTGATATTTCATCTATAGGAAAGGACAGTAGGACTAAAAATAATTCATCACCCACAAGGCCATGTAAACAATTTTTTTAGCTAAGAATATCAAGTTGGAC